ACACAACACAAAACTGTGTGCCCATCATCCAGGCTCCTCAGATGATTGCACAGTTTGCACTAGATGCCATCAATAAAGGAAGGTTTACTCAAAAAAGAAGTTGGTATAAATTGCAATAAACAGTAACACTTTAAAATAATTGTCTAATCAATATTAATTCCTCTAGTATCTATTTAACAGCATTAATCACAGTGAACTCATTTAGTATTAATGTGAATGTCACCAGTAATTCAATTGGATTTCCACTGTAATTCAACATTCATTATCTTAACAAGACTATTATTTTACAACGTTACACGGTAAACATGAAAGTAAAAGTAATAAAATCATGCATGAAAGAATTATAATGTAGTGCTATATGTTACAGCTATGTATAATAAACTGTTTTATTCATTTGAAATAGCTCATCGAAGGATGGAATTTATTAGTGGAATATACACACTCCTACATGCCCACAAAACTATGACATCCCACTTATCTATATTTGTCAAAAAAAAGTTGTCTTGTGAAGATATTTGTCAAATATTGAGATTTCTCATTTAAATTCTAACACTTAGTAAAACATGTTATTAACTATTAACTCTCTATCTGCAAAGAGAGATGTGAACATATTTTCCTGTATATTGTGATGGTATGGATGCTCATTGGTCAAGGTTTTTTTTTTTTTTTTTTCTTTTTCTTTTTCCCAGCTTTCTCATTGCCAGGTTATCAGCTCTTATATTCCACTCATGTGTAGGAGCTTAATTTAGCTGTCTTCTCCCCACTTTTAATTGCTTCCATTATGCTGAAATCTTAGAAAAAGGAAAGAATGGAGGAAGAAAAGATAGAAACATGTTTCAAGTGTGTGTGAGGTGTCGATCAGCAGACGCTAAGAGACGGAATGAGGGCCTCTTCCAGGTATAAATATGAACTCTCATGCACTGATTATATATCAGATATTTTAGTTCTGAAAATCTTAAATTTTCTCTGACTTTCAGATTGTGCTCTAGGAAGTTAAGATTTCCATATCCTGATTTCAAGTTAAATTCTTCTGAGATATATCACAAAATGTAAATGCAATATCTAACAATTTATTTTACATTTCTAGTTTGTATGTAAGTACTCAAGAGAGCGTGTTTTATTCAACTCTGCATCTTCCATAGCACCAAGTGCAGTGTTTTACACAATGAACACTCACTGGAGGGGAAGAAAAACAAAGAAGAAAAGGTTTACTCTTTTCCTCATTGGAGGTACCAAATAAACATGCCAATTACCTAGTAAATCACTCATTTATATGTATTTTTGTACCACACACTATGTAACGCCATATACAACATCACCTCTTTCTATAGGTCTCGGAAACAATACTTTAAAAAAGTACTTTAAATGAAATCTTATATGAAGCCTTCATATCTTAAAGAAGAATCAGACACTTGATTGAAATGGTGACCATGGAACCTGAAACCCCACAGCTAGCCCTTTGCTTAAGGATGACAGCAGCCCACAGGGAACCTCCAAGGAACCTCAGGGCTTAAAGAAATGACTTGAAAACAGGTGTCAGTGATATCAGATTCAAATCTAAGTAAAAATTGAGCTATAGAGCTCTGAGTTGTTAGGTGTACAACCTAACTTTTCTGAGCCTAAATTTGTTTGGCTGTAAAAATGAGATTAAATATTTCTACCAATGAGTGTTGTTGTGAGAAGCAGAATAAGAGATATAATTCCTATCATTTTGTATTGTTATTATTGCTTGTCACTCATTCATTTAATAAAAATGTATTTGCTGCCAGTTTGTTTCAAGAATAATTTTAAGCTTTGAGGATAAAGCAGTGAACAAAAGAGACCAAAGGCCTGCCCACATGAAGCTTATCTCTAGCAGTGGAGACAGACACGGATAAGATATAGATAAATGATTGTTTCAGATAGTTCTAAGTCATATAAATAAAACAAATTAAAGAATTGTTTTTGTCTGTCTAGTATTTAGACGGGGGCTCAGGGAAAGCATTTCAGATAAAGTGAGGTAGAGAACCACGTAGATATGAGGGGAAAGAGTATTTTTGGTAGAGGGAATGGTGACAAGGAACCAAGGTGGGAACATTCAGGATATATATGAGGATCATAATTGGAGGTTGGAGAGGACTGAGGGATAGGAGCTGAGGTCACAACATTATCAGAGATCCATATGGTATAAAACTTCAGGTCATTTTAAGAACTTTGGATTTGACTCTGAGTTAGATAGGAAGATATTGGATGATGTTGAACAGAGATGTGCGTTCATTTAACTCACAAGTTGAACATCACTCTGCCTGCTACATGGGAAAGAGACTGAAATGGGAGGCAGCAAGAGTGAAAGAAAGAGATTAAGGAGGCTCTGCTTTAGGAGACCATGCTGCTTTGACTTGGGAGCTCATGATGGAATTGGAGAAATACATATATATGTTGGAATATATATATATATATATAAAATAGTTGAAATTGTGATACATATGTATTTGTTATTAAACACTAAATTACATTGCATGACATAATAAACACACAAACACACACACACACATGCGCACACTCCTTGAACCAGAAAAGATTCTATTTGTATTGACGCAGAAGTAAAGCTCTAAGAAAATGCTTCATCTTTCCGTTTTCCTCATATGGCATTGTATTTCCCACTGGCATCATTCCTCATACATGGGTACTCCCACTCCAGTATCAGAAGCATAATTGAACTCTCTAAGCTTTCTTTGTGTTATTTGTAAAATGCTCAGCTTTGCTTTTTAGGTGAGAGTGAATCTAATAAGGGAGTTGGAAACGTTTTGAAAACTGTAAAAGTGTCCCCAGTTGTCAGGTACAATCAATATATTATAACCAATTACATTATATTATGCTTTATGATTACATAAATGTTAATTTGTGATTTTTGTGGTCTTTATCACCTACTAACATCTCCATTTCTACTTACTTCAATCTGTTGTTTCTTTTTCAGTATATGGCTGTATATGAAAAAGAATGTCGTTTGAGCTCTAATGTACTTCTTCTACCTCAGGAGAATGTGTTGTGGGGCAGGCTGTAGGTATATCTGTTGAGGGAGCCCTCTCCAAACCCAGAATAACTATGACATTGCATTATGACATAACAGATCACAGATGGGATAGTGTTATTATCTTTCATGCATATGAGTATGTTGGAAAATATGTTTCTTCATTGTTTCATAGCTTGCCAGTAGCAGTAGACTTTTTTTTTT